TTTAAATTGTGCTGTGTACATTTTCTGCACTAGAAAATGTATTTTTAAAGTATTGATGCATTTAAAAAATAAAACTGGCTTTATTTCAAATGGGAAACCTTAGAGATTTTCTAGACCAAATTCCTGTATCCTTGAGGTCACAGAAACAAATATAGTAGTGAGAAAGGGCTCTGGATTCAAATTCTGATGCTGTCACATGGCAGCAAAGTGCCCTTGCCTCTCCAAACGTCGCTTTCCCCCACTATAGTGCAGAGCACAAAGCAAGGGCTCTGAAGTCAGCCTGCTTGAGGATGCGTCCTGTTCAGCTTTACCTTGTCCCAGTGCATGATCTTGGGCAAGTCAACTGGCGTCTCTAAACTGCAGACTTTATGATTGCATTAGCTTTATTCCATCAAATCTAAGAAGCCCTGGGCTGCTTGAAATGCACAATTATTTTATGTTCTACTAACAACTTTTTTAAGTGCTAGAATTTATTGTAAGATGTCAACCACTGTGAAATGCAGGCTGATTTCAGAGACATTAAAACGTGAAAAACATGCATCTTAGAATCAATGTAGTATGATCGCACTTACTAAAGGGGAAAACATGACAGAAAGAGAGGTTCAACGGTAATCGAGAAGTAAGTTGACAGAAGTGAAGGTTATCAGGCTAGCATCCAGTAAACGTTATAGATGGGAGAAAAAAGGAAAGTGAAGATATAATGGGAGGTAAATACTTCAATCTTTGCACAATTTAGACCAAGAAAATAAAAACAGTTTGCACGTACTTGTGAGCAAACAAAATAAAATTGGGGTTACCTCCCAGGAAAGGTTGTACTGCTGTCAATAATGTGACCAAGGTGGTGGCTCAAATCCCAGCACTTTGGGAGGCTGAGGCAGGCAGATCACTTGAGCCCAGGAGTTCAAGAGTTCAAGACCAGCCTGGGAAACAGGGTGAAACCTCATCTCTAAAAAAAAAAAAAAAAAATTATCCAGGCATGGTGGCGCACCTGTAGTCCCACCTACTTGGAGGGCTGAGGCAGGAGGAACACCTGGGCCAGGAGGTTGAGGCTACAGTGAGCTGTGATCTTGCCAAAGCACTCCAGCACTGGCAACAGAGTGAGATTCTCTGTCTCTATTAATAATAATACTAATGTGACCAAGAACTGAAACCCACTCCCTACCTTATAATGACATGTTACTAGGAGGCAGCAGCTGTATAGTTCTAAGTTGGGCACGGAAGCAGGCAGCACTGAGGACCAGCCAGTTGAGTCGGGGTATAGACTGCCTCTGGGCTTGCACCTGGGTGAAGTCAAAAGAGATAATAAAAAGGGGATTTGGGGAGGTTTGTAAAATATGTAACCTAAGCATGAATGCCTGAGAACTTTGGGGGAACTCTGGGCCTGTTTAATTCTCCTGTTGACCCTGACGAGACACTGAAATTTTAAAAAAGAGCAAGACATGATGGTGTGTCTGTGTAGTCCCAGCCACTGGGGAGGCTGAGGTGGGAGGATTGCTTGAGCCCAGGAGTTCCACATCAGACTGGGCAACATAGCAAGACTCCTTCATTTAAAAAAATGTTTTAGGCTGGGTGTGGTGGCTCACACTTGTAATCCCAGCACTTTGGGAGGCCGAGGCAGGCAGATCACAAGGTCAGGAGATTGGGACCATCCTGGCTAATGTGGTGAAACCCTGTCTCTACTAAAAACACAAAAAATTAGCCAGGCTTGGTGGCACGTGCCTGTAATCATAGCTACTCAGGAGGCTGAGGCAGGAGAATTGCTTGAACCTGGGAGGCGGAGGTTGCGGTGAGCC